TCTTACATGGATTTAAAAAAACCAACTCCATGTGAAATCCATTTGCATACCCATTTCCTTGTTGCTTCTGTGCACACGGACATGTTCACATCTGCTGTTTGTCAAATTCATAAACATTAAAGAATTTTTAAAAAGACAGATTTGTCAGTGAACCGGTGAGCCTGCTGCTGGGCACCGCCCACCAGCTGGCCAGGGCCACAGAGCAAAGACAAAGAAAGGCCCCAGGGCAGCTCGGTGGCGCAGTGGATAGAGCACTGGCCCTGGAGTCAGGAGGACCTGAGTTCAAATCTGGCCTCAGACACTTAACACTTAGTAGCTGTGTGACCCTGGGTAAGTCACTTAACCCCAACTGCCTCAAAAAAAACCCCAAAAACCCAAAACCAAAGAAAGGCCCCAGGTGACGCAAAGTACTGGAGGTAAAAAACAAGCTAGATCCTAAGGACATGTCCCTGCCTAGGAAAATGACTGCTCATCACTGTGCATCAACAGCAGTGAACACGCAGGATGTGTCTGAACAGATGCTGAGCGAAAGAGAACCAGCACAAAGAGGCCACGGGCCGTGAGGCCAGTGGGCGCCTCCTCCTCTGGGGAAAGCAGGGGCCACACTGGCCTCCATCCTTCAGTGGGTCAGCTTTCCTTCACTGCTTTTGCTGTGCTGCCAAGCAGGGTCCCCAATGAGATGGGGAACAAAAGCCTACCCCCAAAATCAAAAATGGCCTCTGATTTACCAGGCCACTTTGGCTTTAAGTTCTTTGAAGAAAGTGCCCTGGAGAGGAAGAAGAAAGAGGATGAGGGGGAGTGGGGGCGGGGCTCAACACAGGATCTCTGCAGACCGGGAAAGAGGCAGGAGCTATTCAGGGAGCCCAGCCAGGTGTGGGCGACAGCCCCGGGGGCGCAGCCTCTCATAAAGCAACTGGGAAAACAGAAGTGGCACCCTCTCTCTGGACCTCAGGAACAGGATGAAGGGCTGGGTAGAGGCAGACAGACAGACAGACCTGACGCCCAATGCCTCAGGGAAGGACATCTTTTAGGGGGCGGGCAGGCGGACAAGTGAGCAGCCTGACCTGTCTCTCTTCTGGCCAGAGGGCAGGAAGGGACAAGCAATATCTTTTCTGGGTTACTAGAGACTGTCTATAGACCAACAGGCAAATCCACCTTGGTTCTCCACAAGTAAGACAAGGTAAAACAACAGTTCAGGGGCAGTGAATGACAAAGGGACCGTGTCATCAGTGGGACTCCCATTTCTGGAGTCAAGGGCAGGTTGTTAGGTACCAGGTGGGCTGGCTGAGCTAGCAAGGGGGAAGGCGGAATTGGGAATAGAAGTAGAACCAGGAAAGTACTTGGGTGTGGGGGGACCAAGTATAACCAGGGGCTTAGAACTCTCTGCCCAGGATGGGGCCATGTCCCTAGGCCCACAGGAAGGCTGAGGAGGGTGCAGGGTTGAAGGGAGTGGGGCCAGGTACGAGGGTGTCAGAGGCCTGTGGGCGTGGGCATGGAGCACATCAGCTGGGACAGTCCCACGCAGAGGAAGGAAACCTGGTGGAGCCAGGTCTGGGAAACAGTGTAATAGAGGTGGTAACCAAACCACTCACAAAGAGAAGAGAAAAGAATGTCCAGGGCGAGGCCTCTGGGGGCTGCCGAAGACGGGTGATGAGGAGTGGCTAGGGAGGAGGAAAGCCAAGGGAGACGGGTGCCGGGGCAGTAGAGAGAAGAAGAGAAGCAGGAAGGGGGAAAAAGCCATAGAGCAAGACTGGGGAGGAGAGTGATGAAGTCCATCCCACAGCTGGGAGCTCCTGGTCACTGCCATTTTGGTCCAGCGGTAGGACTGAACGGAGGACTGAGAAGGGGCTGCTGGTGAAAAAGAGAGACAGTCAATGGAAAAGTTCTTTCCAGGAAGTTGATAGCAATGAGACAGTATGGTCCTTGTGTGTTTGCAGGTAGCAGAGAAGGACCCAAAAGATGAGAGAATGAGGATGCCAGAAATCAAAAGCATGACCCATGGGGAGACAGAAGGCCTCGGGAGCAGGGTTCACCTTGGCAGGGAGAAGGACCACCACATTCCCCTGGAGGGAAGCCCAGGGAGGTTGGAGACGAGGCCACGGCAGCGCATATTGGGCATGTCACTTTTTCCTAGACACACCATTCATTTCATCTTTTAGAGCCTCAGTTTCCCATTAATAAAATGGAGATGCGAACATTTATCCACCTACATATGGTGAAATCAAAGGAGAGGACAAGAGACATCCTTTCTAACCACAAAGAAGCCAACCACGGGAGCTGTCTGGGCTGAGATCTTGGCTGCTTCTGTGTGACTGTCTGTGGAGACCCCTTGGGAACCTTCTAGGAGCCAAGCATGTAGCCTCAATAAGGAGGACGCCAGGCGTGCTCGGAAGGGCTCAAAGGAACGGAGAGGATGACCACTGACCGACTGAAAGGAAAAGGAAAGCCATTCGTGGCCAGTGGGTCGGGCAGCACAAACATGAAGCCCGGCTTAGGACTAAGGGGACAGCTGCTGAATCTTGGAGAGCTTCCGCAAAGACGCACCTCCTGGACACTGGTTCTTGTGCCAGGCACTGTGCTGAGAGCTGGGGATACACGGGCCAAAAGACAAAAACAAACCGGCCTCTGCCCTCAAGTCCCGCAAAGTTCAACCGGAGTCTGGAGGGCAGGGACGGCCAAGCGAGCTCTGCTGACCCGGCTCTACGACACTCCCTGGCTTTGTTGGGGGACTCCCACAGAGGAGAGCCTCATCCCAGAAGCAGCTGTGCCTCCCCACGGCTCCTCCTCAAAGAGCCCAGGAGAGAAGAATGCCCTTGTATGGGCTCAGTCACTGGGGCCTGCCCTGCCAGACACCCACAGAAATGCTCAGCTCAGCTGAGTCACAGGGAACAACGCCAGGCCCAGAACTCCCCTGCTGGGAATATCCCTCTTCTCACAGGGAGGTGGAGCTGTGTATTCTTTCTGCCACTTTGAGAATTCAGAATGATAACGCCCAAGTGGGTCCCGCAGGAGAGATCCCAGGGGGATCGCCCCCCATCTCTGCAGAGGTGGGGGACTCCGGCCAGAGGCGACATGCTGCTTAGCTTGGCTGACCTGCTGCTAGGAAGGATAGCTCATTCTAAGAAAGAAAGGGGAGGGATGCACAGGCCGATGCAGATGAAACACAAACAAAAAGCCATCAATAAAGATGCACTGTAGCAACCAAGATTAGAAGGAAAGCAGAAAATCGGGAAAGTCTCTCTGATAAGGGCCTCATTTCTAAAATACCTAGAGAATTAAGTCAAATTTACAAGAATGCAAGTCATTCCCCAACTGATAAACGGTCAAACGATACAAACAGGCAGTTCTCAGATAAAGAAATTTAAGCCATCTATAGTCATATGAAAAAATGCTCTAAATCACTATTGATTAGAGAAATGCAAATCAAAACAACTCTGAGTACCACATCACACCTGTCAGATTGGCCAACGTGACAAAACAGGAAAATGATAAATGCTGGAGAAGGTGTGGGAAAACTGGAACACTAATGCATTGTTGGTGGAGTTGTCAAATGATCCAACCATTTTGGAGAGCGATTTGTAACTATGCCCAAAGGGCTATCAAAATGTGCATACCCTTTGACCCAGCAATAGCACTTCTAGGGCTATATCCCAAGGAGATCATACAAACAGGAAAAGGAGCCACATATACAAAAATATTTATAGCAGCTCTTTGTGTGGTGGCAAAGAATTGGAAATTGAGAGGATGTCCATCTGCTGGGGAATGGCTGAACAAGTTGTGGTATATGATGTAATGGAATACTATTGTGCTATAAGAAATGACGAGCCGGCAGACTTCAGAAAAACCTGGAAAGACTTGCATGGTCTGATGCTGAGTGAAGTGAGCAGAACCAGGAGAAGGTTGTTCCCAGTAACAGCCACGTTGTGTGATGACTAATATTGATAAACTTGACCCTTCCGGCAATGCAAGGATCTAAGACATCTCCAAAAGTCTCATGATGGAAAATGCTCTCCACATCCAGAGAAAGAACTGTGGAGTTTGAATGCCGATCAAAGCACACCATTTGCTGTTTTTTTTCTTCTGTTTTGTTTTGTTTCCTCTTTCTGGTGGTTCCTCCTGTTGGTTCTAATTTTTCCTCATAACATGACTAATGTGAAAATATGTTTAATAGGAGTGTGTCTGTATAGCCTATATCAGATTGTGTGCTGTCTTGGGGAGGGAGGGGGAGAAAGATTTAAAACTCAAAAGCTTATGGAAGTGATTGTTGATAAATCAAAATAAACTAATAAAAAAAAACATGCATCGTAAAAGCACCGAAGCAAAGATGAAGGGGGACTCAGCAGAGTCTAAAGAGGACGCCTAACTCTCCCCTCTGAGCTTTGTAGGCACTTTCTTAAAAATCAAACCAGCGTCAGATTTCCAAAGTCAGCATCTTGTTTGCCGACGTCTCCATAAACTGCACTGATACGAGCAGGTCGCTGACTCGCACTCAGCCACGGCCTGGCTTTCGGAAGGCCTTCTGCACTCCCAGCACGGTGGAGAACTCCAGGCCTCCACGGCCTCCATCGTCCCCCGGAGCCTCTTGGGCGCACGCCGGTGACCCTGACTTCTGGACCATCTGCACCTGTTGCCTAAGCCGACAGGCCTCGAGGCCCGGCCCAGCAGCGATTCTATGCCGGCTGCCCCGTCTGGACCGGCTGCACCCTGAGTCGCTGGACAGAGAAGCTACGCTAATGACATCACTGCTCCTTGAAATGTGGAAGTCGTAAAGATGGCACCTGTTCCCCGGGGAATCAGGTGCACAACGAATTCTGCCCAGATGTCATTGGTCTGGTTTGTGAGAAAGTGACTAATGCTTACGAGGAGTTTCAAGGAGGATGACAGCTCTGGGGCAGGCTCTGAGCCGAGTGCTTACAAACACACCCTCCTGTGACCCAAGGCGGTGTCGTGGCGGGCATCTCCAGAGGGGTGCATCCCCAAAGGGGCAGACGGGCTCTCACCTGCTCCACGCGGGGCTCTGCAGCAAAGGAGATCCGGGCGATTGAGTGAGACGCTATACACAGCTCCTGCCCATTCACTTCGCCCTCCTCCACTTCGACAATACCTAAAAGAACAAGTTCCATCCTTTAGCAGGGGTGGTCCCCAAAGCCTGGCACTGGGGGCTCCTGGTGCAGCTGCTTTGCCTCGACTGTGGGGAATCCAAGCTGGGCCCTTGCCCGGCTTGCACCTGTGCACTGAATGTTGAGCTGAAACCGCCCATTTCCCTGAAATTTGTGCCTTAAGTCACCCAGAGTCCTGGTGAATTCTGATTCTATCACTCCACACCCAGGCCCTCACGGCTGGTCACAGGGGGTGCAGACGCTGCCAAGCTCCGTTACCCTGGACGAGTCACTTCACCTGCTCCTCCACTTCCTGGGCAGTTACTGAGCAGGGTGGGCTGGACAGCCTCCCCATTAGTGTCCCAGGGGCTACACCTCTCCCTTCAGTCCCACCTGGGGGCACTGGGCTAGGCAGGAACGTAAGAAGGTTCTAGACTCTGTCCAATTTGCTCTAGGATGGCACAGCGCTGAGTCAGGGCTCTACCCTCCTAAGTCTAAACTCCTGCCCTACCTCCAGGTGATGGATACACAGAAACATGGTCAAGTGGGTTCATGACTGACGTGGTTGGGAGGAGCGTCTCAGGGCCACCAAAAAGATAATCAAACCTGCCCCAGAAAGGAGCCTTCTCTCACTAGCAGACCTCGAAAGTGGTGACAGAGGCGTGACCCACTGCCCCTTTCCCTCCCTCGGGGCCCCGGAGCTGCGGCTGGCAGCCACGGACACCCAAAATCCCAGCAGGGAGCCAAACGCTCCTGTAGGCTGACCCCACCCCTCCCCCACATGCTGGAGGAGGGGGAGGGAGTCACCAAAAGCAGTCTCCCTGACCTTTCTTCTTCAAACATGGAGGTCACCCTGACCTCCATCTTCCCTTCCTCTTCTCCCTTCTCCAACAGCAGCCAAGACGGTGCTTGGGACCCTCTCCCTAATAGCCTTGCACGGAGCCCAGCATGGCAGCAGCCTGGCCCTCCTGGCACACTTCTACTCCGCCCTGAGCAGGAATGACCTGGGATCCTAAGGACCTGAGCCGAGGCTAGTACCTGTGTTTTGGGCGCTGACAAAGGCCACCTTGTTGGAATCAGGCTTGAGACGGATGAATCCACACTCTCTGTGCATTGGCTTCTTAGTGTCTGGATGGAAGGCATTGAACCTAGGCAGGGAAATCAGGAATCATCAAACTGTAAGGGCAGCCCGAGAGACTTCTGTGATACCCAAAACACTGCCAGGGGAATACAGACATTTTAAATGTGACAACAATAATAAGCCCATTTCGTTCCCACAGAAGGGGGAGACGTGCGCTCAGCTCAGGAGGAAAACTTTGGTCTCAGAAATTTCAGTTCAGTGATGGAAGTTTGACATTTCTGACATGATTATCTTAACCTTGGCCAAGCTCAGTGCCCCACACCAAGCCTCATGTTCAGGCAGCCCGGATTCCAGCCCATGCTCTGGTGATAGGTTTGAAGAAATGTGAGTGATTTGTGATTGTTCTTTCTCAGGCAAGTAAGCCCCAAGGCCATGAGCGCTGTTCCCTCTCGATATGGCATAGTGCCTGGAGCACAGTAGGCCCTCAATAAATGTTTAGTGACACAGGGCAACACAGCAAAGCTGTGCGATTGACCACACTGCAAGTCACTGCAGCCTTCTGAAGCCCAAATGCCTTTTCGCTAAAAATGGGTAGTCCTGCCTTACCATGAAGGGCGCTGCAAGGACCACGTGGGTGGACCCATGCAGGACTCCGTGAAGGTTTCTAAAGCCACTGACAAGGGTGACAGCAAAGCGCCACGTCCACGCTGGCTGCCACAATCAGCTATGGCCAGCTCGGTAAGACAAGAGACGGAACCACCCCACCCCCTTTGCTCAGGGTGTTCTCTCCATCAGCTCAGGGACAGGAAATGCTTGGAGAACACCACAAGGTTCACGCGGCACCTTCCTCCCAAAGACCTTGTGAGCGAGGCAGGACAAGTTACTACCACCCCCATTTTAAAGACAAGGAAACTGAGACTCCGAGGCCCCCAGGACAAAAATAAGCATTAGTTAAATTCCAGGACTTTGTACTGTCTGCCCAGAGTGACTCTGCCTTTCCCATCATGGTCCAGCTTAACAGAAAACCTATAATTGTAGCTCCCATTGGCTTAAAAAAGAGCAAACCTTATTGAACTCAAAAACAGTAGCTGGGTTGCAGGCCAAAGGAGAGAAAGCCCCCATGTCACTAGAGGAAGGAGAGCAGAAACCACCAGGGACAGACAATTCAATTTCCAAGACCAAAACCAAAATCAAAAGCTGACTTTCTTCCTCCCTTTCCTTTCCCTTCTTTCAATAATCCTTTCCCACCCACTAACTTACCTACTTGGAGGAAACAAAACATTTTCCCTATGCAACTGCTAATTCTTTCCAACCCCAGAAAACTTAATGGGAAGGTAGGTTTCTGAGAGGCCCCGTGGCCTTTCTGCGAGACATTTGCTCCAATCCAAGAATAATCCTGTTTGGTTAAATTAAAACTGCCCAGCATGGTCTCATGCCCTTTCATTTCACTATTCCAGTTCTATTAAATTAAATCTAGGAAGGAATCTAGGGGCAACTTCAAAGAGGGGAAGAATCATCCACTTAATTTGGCCATAAAAAGGACCCGGCCACCAACAAATGGCTAAAAACAGTGGGGACAAAGCCTGTTTAAATTCTGATCACCTTCCATCACTGCAAAGACCAGTGTTTAGTTCAGTGGCACAGAACTTGGTTCCGGCTCCTCTCTGCCACCTGCCAATAGTGTGACATCTGGGGGCACAGCTGTGCTCTCCCCCACAGGAGGATCCATCTTTTGAACCTGAGGCTTCTCCGAGACCACCCCTCAACAGCTTAGGGTCAGCACCAGGAGACGCAGTGGACTGGGGGCTTGTTGCTTTCTATCCCTCCTGGGGGCAGTCAGGCAGGGCTTCTTCCCCACCTTTCCCACTAAGACCAATGTGAAAAAGTGTCACGAAGTCACAAGAATACAGAGTCCCCAAGCAATCCCACATTCATTTTTCCATTTAATGATCCTGGGGCCAGAGACCCCAAAGGTGCCCTTCCACATCAGACATGATGCTGCCCTTGAGAAGGGTTGCTGGCTTTCGGCTCCAGCCTAGACGAAGGCTTTCTGGGCCTGGATGTTTACATGCAGAACCTTCCCAATGGGCGTGAGCAGGACTTTCTGGCTCAGTCTGTAGAGGTATCTTAGCTCTCTTGGGAGCACCGATCTTCCTTTAGCAAACTGAGGGCACTTGGTTTAAAAAAAAAAAAGAAGGGTCCCCGTGGGTCTCACACCTCGAGGTCACCTATAAACTGGCCTCTTATAAGCCACTCTACTGACTCCATCTCATATACCACCGTGTTAAGCCCATGGTCTCCTCTGTTTACTGATTACTTGGAATATCCCATTGCTTCAGCTAAGGTAGGAGGACCATGGGTATGGAACACGGTACATGTTTTTAGACTTTTCAATGCACTGACTGGTTTTGCTAGTTTTTTTCTTCTGTCCTTTTTGTCTTTTCTGTAAAAAAATATCATCTGTTACATGGGATTGCTCTCCAGGAGCAAGGGACAGAGATACTGGGAAAAATTCTGATTATATAAAAAACAAAGCTTTACTTTAAGTAATTCTGCTCAGGTGACCTCTTTTCATGTTCAAATAGTCAATAAGCATTTCTTAAGTTTGGGGCTGGGAACACGACACAGAGGTTGCAGTCTTGGCCCTGAAGGAGCTTCCCTTCTAGCCATGGGCCTCTGGCCTTCGTGAAGGGGGAAGGTTAGAGAACCAACTGGCCACCAGGCCCAGTGAGGCCTCACAGGCCTCGGATCTGAATGGGCCGCCCTGTTGGCCAATCAGCTTGCGTGTGGAGAACTTGGGGTTCAGATGCAGGGAAAGTGAACCACTGGCTCTCTGGGGGAAGAATAGATGCATGACACTCAGTTTAAGCTGCATTAACATTTCCTCCATCACTTTGTTAAGTCAAAACAATCAACAAACAATTGATCAAGCCCTGATTTACAGGCTTGCTGATTTCTGAGGTGCAAATGCTAATACTGAAAATTTAACCATCAGCTCTCTGGAGCTGGAGCGGGGCTCAAGCACACCCCTGCTTAGAGGCCTAATTAAGCTAAATATGCGTATGAAATATTGATTGAAGTAGGCCTTACAGCCCAAGCACAGCTACAGAGTTCTGTGCCTGTCAAAACAGTCAATAATTTTAACCAGAGGAAACTTCTATGCTGGCACTTGAAAGATGGACATGGACCCTTTCTGTGAACATGCAAGCCAGCTGCCTGACTGAGAAGGGCACGAAAGGGGCATTTCTCCCAAATGCCACTGTCCGGTTGGACTGCATTGTTCCCAAAAGGTGGTTTTTTTCATCAGGTCCATTCTTAATGAGACACAATCACGACCAAATTCATGATATGAAAAGACAAACTCTGACTACACCAATTCCAGTGGCTTCCAACTACCTCTAGGATAGAATCTAAACTCCTTTGTTTAGGTTTTAAACCCTACACTAACCTGATCATAACCTAGCTTTCCAGGCTCACTGGACATTACTCTCCCCTCCCACAACTGTGCTGTCTAAACTGGTTTTCTCCCTGTCCCTCACATATGACATTTCACCTCCCATCTCTACGGACCTTTGTTCTAGCCATCCGTCCCTGGAATGTCTTTCCTCCTTATTGTGACTCATAGAACTCCTCTATTCTTTTATAGTTCAGCTTAAGCACCATCTTCAGTATAAAGCCTTCTCTGACTCCCTCAAGCACTACAGCCCTACCTCTCCCAAATGACCATGTATTTAACTACTTTGTATATATCTGTATGCTGTATATGCATGTGACTTGTTGTTTTCTCCACTAAAATGTAAAATCATAAAAAAAGAAAAGACAAACTGAATTTTCAACTTACGAGAAGTTCAGCATTGGCTGGCCTACGTGAGTGATGTGCACCTCCTCCAGGTAATGGAAAGGCTGCAGGGTCGGGTAGATGCCGTCTCCCGGGGGTTCAGAGAGCCAGGTGCCCAGCAACCAGGAGAGAGGCTCAATGCTAGGGTTCATCTTAGGGGGCTCTGAAGACAACAAGGCAGGCAGGGTTAGAATGCGGCCATGTCACCGGCTCAAACCACAGCGTGAGGGACTAGTCCAACCCACTCATTTAATAGGAGGCAATGAAGGTGAAGCCAGGTGGTGGAGGGACTCCAGGCTCCAGGTCAGAAAGCTTGCTCTGGGCTCGAGACCCAGATCACATAAGCACCAGTTCAGCACTCCTGGACATTCATTTGCTTACTAGTTTTCTCTTGTCCGTTAGCATCTGAACACGTGTTGGTTCCCAACTACTTTGTGGTGGTCCACACTACTGAGAAGCTGGGACAGAATGGAACCGCCAGGCCACTAGCCACGGTCAGTTTCCTGGGATCCAGCTCCCACCCATGGTGGGGGTGGGGGGAGAACCCAGCTGACATAGCCCCTTCCTGCCAATAGCTTCTGGAGATGGCTACAGTAAGACCAGTGGGAGCCTTGAAGTCACTGCCAGCCTTGGCCAGAACTGGACGTTATGATGCTTCTGCTGCTAATTGACGGGGATGAAGGACTGACAGAACGGGAGAAGGGGACTGATAACAATAATGCATTTGGTGGGAGAGATTCAGGTCCAGACTCCTGAGGGACTTTCACTGGGGCTGCACAATACGCCTGATGGCGCCTACAAAGTAATAAGCCAAAGCTGTACGCGACGGCATGACTCTCAGAACATCTCCACTGAAAAGAGTGGGAGCCCCATGTACGGAGCTGCCCACCCTGGGAATGGTGACATGAGGAGAGAGAGAGAGAGGTGAGAATTATAGGCGAGGGAGGGGGAAAGGCTACTGTTCTAATGAGTCTAAAAGGTTCCCCAGGGACCTCCCCCATTAGAGTGCCCCCAAAAATCAATTCAGCACATGGAAAACGAATACTCCGATTTCCAGGTAAGCAAATTCAGCTGAAAATCTTGTGAGAAACCTTGCCTGAAAGACATTTAATATTATAAAACACAAGAAAGTTTCTGAATGTGAACAACGAAGTGCAAAGGTATAAATGATGAAAACATATCTCACTTAAAGGGGTGAAACAAACAGAAAATAAATCCATTTAAAAGGCTAGATCTAACAAAAAAAAAAAGACTAGATCTAGCTGGGGAGATGTTTTTTAATCAACTAAACCTAGATAGAATCAGTGAAAAGAAAGAGTCCCTGACACCAGCTGCTGCCAAGGGAATGGATCTCATGAAAGGAGTAATGAGTACACCTTTGATGGTGGGACACCATTTGTTTACCTAAGTTTATTGTGACAAGCACACGTGAGGAAAGTAAATGAATGCCTGGCACCATTTCAGAGCATTGTGAACTTTACAAAGTTTAGGCTGAAAATTAAAAGCGGACTCAGGAAAGGATAGTATCTATCACACAAGAATATATGGAACAGGATACAGTGAAATAGACGATGCCCAGTTAAGAGGAGATGTGAGCTATATACACATCCCACACCAAACAAGCTAACATTCAGAGGAACTCTATGGAGTATTTTTATAATGCTTGTAATTGAGGACACATATATAAGCAGAAATGGTGAGGCCCAAGAAAGCCCACGCATATTAGAGAAACACTAGTCAAGAGAGACAAACACACCAATAATCAGCAAGAATGGCCCAATGGAATGTCTAGACCAGTGCTTCTTAAATTTTAGTTGAGACTCCACATGGGGTTTAAATTTAAGATGTGCTGAAGGGGTCTCAAGTGGAAAAAGTTTAAGAAGCTCTGGTCTAGACCAATATTGGCTGCTCTCCAACCCCTACCCCCAAGAACTCTCAAACTCACAGAAAATCAAAACTGGAGGAAACTTTTCAGGTCACAATTCCTTTTTCCTCCAAATGAGGACCTTCAGGCACTAGGAGGATATTCACCCAAGATCAAGATGGCTGAATTTGAACTGGGATCATCTGACTCTGGGTCATTGCTAATAAGAACCACCAGTCTTTATATAGTGCTTTAAGGTTTACAAAGCACAAGGCTTTTCTCATTTTAGCCTCACAACTCTGAGGTGCTATTGTCTCCATTTTATAGATCAGGAAACTAAGGCAGACAGGATCCTTAGCTATCTCCACTGCGACACCTTTCTACTCTACATCAGCTGCCTCATACTTCAATATTTCAAGCATCTGGGATTTCACCGACATGTGTATACCCTTCACTGATAAAGATTACAACCCCTCTGTGCCTTGATATATGGATTTGAGGGTTCCTGTGGCCATCTGTAGCCAGTTTGATGATGAGGCCTCTCCAAACTCTGCTAGACCAGTCTTTTGACATCTCCAAAGCCTTTCTGAAAGAGCGTCGCCAGGTACTGTCTTTAAGAACTGAGGGGTACGTCCACTTCAGGATGAGGTATTATTAGAGTAAGCCTTTGTTGGAGGGGCTGCTCTCGTAGTGAGGGGAAAATGGTCCTTTTTCTAGCTAACAGGCATCTATGTCTTTTATTGCTTCCCTCTAAAATAGCCAATGAACAAAGAGCAAAGAGGAGTAATTTGAACTGAACTAAGAAAATTCCATAGAAAACACTAACAAAGTTCACCCAAATTCAAGCTGTTGTATTGCCGAAAATTCTCCTTAAAAATAATGCTGCAGAAAAAAAAATAATAATGCTGCAGGAACAGCTAGGTGGCACAGTGGATAGAGCACCGGCCTTGGAGTCAGGAGGACCCGAGTTCAAATCTGGCCTCAGACACTTGACACTTACTAGCTATGTGACCCTGAGCAAGTCACTTAACCCCAACTGCCTCACCAAAAAAAAAAAAAGAATAATAATAATGATAACGCTGCTCATTATCTTTCAGTCTACCCCACAGTCAGGCCGGGATCTAAAGGGCTGTTTGCATATGGCGCTCAGTTAGATCTCTGCCTGATGTAGGTAGAAAAGCTGTACAATTTGTATGTCACCCTCAAATTTTCAAATGGATACCAGCGAACTTATAGGGCTTGAATTTCTGGGCAAGTGTTTCATTAATGGAAGAGAAAAAGCAATTATTAAGTGCTTACTATGTACTCAATGCTGAGGATGCCAACAGATAACCAAGAGAGCCCCTGCTCTGCAGGGGCCAGCTCTAAATGGGGGCTCAGGGTCAGGTTCAGTCTTTGGATGATGGAAAGGCCAGGGAGTTCTCAGGCAGATGGCAAGTACCCCTGCCCCAGTCTTAGGGAGTGACGGCAGGAGAGAGGAGCATTTTTTCTTCAAATTCTGACACACAGTGAGAGTTTTCAGGCTATCTGCTACTATAAAAACATAGGAGAGGAAAAGGAACATGAAAGAATTGGTGCATGGGAGAAGTCTTTGTGGGAGTCTGCCCCAGGGCAGTCAGCTGCTGCTGATTCAGAAGAAATGAGTAAGAACCAGGCAGAACCAGATTGGGTGAGACACCGGCAGGGGCAACCCCGCGAGGAAGCCCACGCATTCCTGCCCCATGCAGAAGGCAGAACTCCGGACCCAGGAGTCTGGCAGGAGCCAAAGAGCAGGCAGGCTGGGAACGGGTGGCTATTACTTTTGTAAGGCTTCTGCTGCCCTTCTCAAGGGCTTCCTGATGAGGCTCCACAGTTTAGGGATCACTGGGTTGGGAGGGAAGAGAACCACAGCATTTCTTTAAGGGGGGTGGTCCCATTTGATTTCTTTCCAAACCTTCTACTCTTTGACATAAACAAATTAAAAAGTTACCAAAATGTTAATGTGGAAAACAGTCCCTCAGTGACCCTGGCAAATGGCTCTGCCCCTGGGGCCTTTCCAACTCTCCAGCCAGGATGCTGTGGTCCCAACACACACACAAACACACACACAAACACACACATACGCCTCTTCTCGGCTAGGAGACAGCTACAATGAGTTCAATGCCAAATGTCATGGAAAATCAGCCGCCTGGACCATGCTTGCCCCCTAGTGGACATGCGACGCAACAGTCAGACTGGTGCACGGGGCTCAGCCTCTCAGATCTTGTTTCTCACCCAGGGCATTTACAATGTACACGAAGAAATGACTGACTGTACCTCCGGGCACTGTTACCTGGTGAAATTGGTCCCTTCTTTCGAGGCCCAGCTCAGGTACCACCAGATCTTCCCTTAGCTCTCCCTGATTCCCCAAACTTCTCTCCTTCTTGAAACTCTCATGAAGAAGGCGCTCTGACAGTCACTTTTCATATTATTAAATCATCTGTGTTGGAGTTCCCTGGCTCAGGTTAAAGGGCTATGGGGGCCTTTCTGGGCCAGCCCTCCTGAAGGCTGGGACAGGTTCACTTGCCCGGGGCCCTCAGGAAATGTGGGGCAGAGCCCAGATGGGAGCCGCCTCCAGGCACCACCTCTGGACCCTGGACTGCCTGAAGGCCCAGTGATCTCAGGCATTTTCCCAAGCAGGCTCCCCCCTGCTTGTCTTCTGTGATGGGGGAGAGCACCTGCTCCCCCAACCCAACACAAAATCAACTCCCTGAGGGCAGGGGCAGGCTTGTTTCACCTCAGCATTGCTTAGCAATAAAACATTTTGCCAAATTGAATGTTCACCCCCAACCACCAACCACGTGAAAACTTTTGCGAAAATACATAAACTGTGAGGAGCGAGGTTTTGTCGAAGCTAAGCTCTTTCCAAGATGGACTCCAACGAAACTCTGGCCCCATCCGTCATGGCCTCCTGCGCATCCCGGCTCAGCCCAGGGATTGGCCAGAGGACTGTCCTTGGGGCCTTGGCCCAAACTGGTAGTGTGAGCCGGGAAGAGCCGGCCCCTCGGGGCTGCAGGGAGAGAAGGTGCCAACCTGCACAGGGGAAGCCCCTACACCAGTGTGGGTCCCTGCTGGCCGCTTTACCGACGGACAACCACAAATTAACATGATCTATGTTGGATTTTTATTGATTTTGTTCAAGCTTTCCCAATTATGTTTTCATCTGCCCTAGCTTCCTTGTGTTTTGTGGGCGTGCTACCCAAGTCGGACACCAGTGCCCTACAGTCAGGGTCCCAAGACCCTGCCCCTGTTCTGACTGCCAGTCTGAGGGCCTCCTCCTT